TAAACATCCTGGGTAAGTTCAAACAGGATTGTTCTCATACAACAATTTTTCTTATATTAATGACAATTGTTCAGAAGTTAAGATTTAAATACATACCAGTATATGGTAAACACTGAGAAATGTTGTAATTTCCCAAATTACAAGCAATACAAGTCCATGAAATTGTATATATGGATGAATTTAAATAAAACATACATTTCTGGTAAATACAACTCCCCAGTTACAGCTCTAACAAGCAAACCCAACTCTCATTATGATGATTATTTTGTCCCAACAATTTCACTACTGAAGATACATCCTGCAATCTCTGTCGGAGCTCTTTTGGTTTTTGTGATCACTGTATCTGAGGAGGTAAAATATGACATTTTTCACTAAGTTAAGGCTGATGTCACCCTTGTCTTAGAAGCAAAGCCATGCTCCAATTCTCTATGTGCAGAGAAGGTTCCTGAGCCTCAAAAAGGATAGTGACACCTGTCAATGGATTTCCCAAGCTTCATTCACCAGTGTGCTGCTTCAGATAGCAAAGGCAGAAGTTCCCTGAGCTGACAGCGTCTGTAGCTGTGAGTTTTGCAGGAAGACAGTCTGCCACAAAGTAGCACTGAGCAAGAATGCCATCGGGAGAGGCAGGCAGCGATTCAGAGGAAGCAGCAAGGAAGTAGGGCAAGAAGGGAGGGAGCAAGTTTCTCCCTAAGCCAATGGGCATAAGTCCTCTTCAGGCAGCCAGCAGGGAATTTCACTGTCAACCAATGTCACTGCAAATCCAAAACTCGGTTCCTGGCTCAGGCAGCATATCCTCCACTGGCTGCACAGATTAGACATCAGGAAAAGCAAAGATTTTAAAAAAAAAAAAAAAAAAAAAAAGGCAGCTTTAACAGGGGCTGGATCATCATCTGCATAACAGGAAGAAGTTATCAGTGTCCCTTCAAGAATAAACTGTTTTACAGCATCCAAAGAGCTCAATCTCTGCTGGAGTTCTTATCCCAGTCCCTCGCTGTGTCTGGGCCATGGACGCTGTGGACAGTGCTCAGGGAAGGTGATCCTTTTCATCACTTCCTGGGGTATTACTCGGATACATTCAAATAACAACACAAGCAAAACGGCAGCCTAAAAGCACTTTGCCTCAACTTGCAGATATGTCTGTGTTAAAACCTGGAAGCTCGTCTCAAACAGGAAGAGTTTTAGAGGTTGTTTTAAAGTTGGGATCTGCTCTGAAAATACTTATCTCCACTTTGCAATTCAGCTGAACGCTTTCGGCGAGGGGCTGCGAACTAACAATTAATCGGGAATTGCTGTGCCTGGAGAACTGCCCCCCCTCCCCCCCTCCCCGCACGGGAGCCGATGCTCCAGGCCTGTGTCAGCGCCAACCCCGCTCCCGCACAGCCCATCCCCGGCAGGAGTACACGGTGAACCCCCCCGTCCTTTAACCAGACAGGCCCCAGCTCCCCGGGCAGCGGGACCAGCCCGAGGCCCAGCGGGGCCCGGGACACGGGACACACCACGGCCTGCCCCACCGAGCCCCGTCCTTCCCCGCCTCCCCCGCCGCCCTCACCGGTACTGCTTGGGGTCACTGGGGGACTTGACGATGTCGGGGTCGCCCAGGTTGTGGCCGGGCCCGCCCGCCCCGCGCTCCTCTTCCTCGTCCCCGTGAGGCGAGCGGCCCCCGGCGTCGCGGCCGCCCTCCGCGGCCTGCTGCTGTCCCACGGCCAGCTCGGGGCTGCCGTAGCCGCACGTCGCCTTGTTCCTGCCGGGCATGGCGGCGGCGGCGGCGGAGCCGCTGCCCCACAGCGGCCGCACAACGGCCCGAGCCGGGCGCCCGCCCCCCGCCCGCCCGCGGGCACCCCCGGCCGCCGCCCGCCCGCTCCGAGCGAGGGCGGCCGCCACAATGCGCACGCGCATGGCCGCGGCGCGCGCCGATTGGCGTGGGGGCGGCTGCCCAGCGTCAGCGGGTGAGGGAAACCACGGAGGGGGGAGAGGAGGGGGTGGGGGGGAACACATGAACCCCGTTCAGGAATCGGGCACAGAGCGCGGAGAAAGCAGAGCGGCGAGGGCGAGGTGGGAGGACGGAGGCAGGCGGTGGGGGGTGCTTGCTGCGCCGTCGCGTTCCCACGAATGCACCCGCCCGCCGGCTGAGTTGGCTCCCCCCTGCTCTGGTGTTGGAATAGCCCGAGAGCAGCTGGTGGGAGGTGGCCACCTACTCTCATTGCCTTCACCGATTGGTCCGACCCGCTGTCGCTCACTCTGGTAGGACTAATCAGCTGACCCAGGCCGGGTATGGGGCTCGGCTCGGCTCGGCTCAGAGAGCGCCGGGTGCGGACGGTCGGGTTTCTGTGTTCCCGATATTTACACATAATGGTGTATCCCGAATAACTTAAAGTCCGTACCCGTGGCTGCTTAATAGAATAAATCTCCATTCTTTGCGTGACCACTTCAGCAGGTCCCTGGGGGTGTCGTTCTCCCCGCCATCCACCTCCGGTGACCACGGCAGTGCCGCTTTGCCTCTTGGCTTGAATCTCCGGGAGTTCCCAAACGGCACCGCTGAGGTCCTGTGGGGGAGCTGCTCCTGCAGTTATCGCAGCCCTTCTGCGCCACCGCTGCACATCTGCCCAGCTGTGCTTCCCTGTCACACCGGGGTTCCCGGTGCCCGCGTGGGAGCCGGTGTTGGCTGCTCGGGGGATAGCGAACGCCAAGGAAAGGCGTCAGAGGCAAACAAATGAGGGCTGTCTAAGGAACAGGCGTGAAAATTCAGGCTGGATGTCCACCTGATACTTCAGAGCTTTATTCCTCCACAAAATGGAAGCCAAGACCTATCTCTAATCCCACGATTTTCCTATGTCTCTTGCTGTATCGTACAAGCCGAAGAGATGCTCCTGAAGAGCAGTCACATCATGCTTTTTCACATTCCAGTACCCCTTTTTATCTTGCAGCCATGCTGTTCTACCAGCCCTTCCTATCCTGGGCCACTGCCATTCAAATGGAAGGCTCCATATGAAACCACATCACAAATTTTGGTGTTTGTCTTCAGTGCAAGCAGGTCTGTTACTTCCCTTTGCTCTGATAAATCTCTGTCTCACCTTCTGCCATTACCTCTTACAAGTTAATACAAGAACAATTCCTACTGACTCACTGCTGATACCGGAATCACCTGCAGGCCATTTAAGGCAAAAGGCTTTCCCTGTATTCCTTCACAGCAAATGTAACATGATGAGATACACAAAATACATATTAATTCAGAGATGTGCCAGTTGCCTATGATGATTTGATTCCTTATTTGAAATAAACTCTGCAGGATTTCTGCACCAAATACTAATTTTTTTTCTATGTATGCAATGTAGTGCAGGATAGAATTCCTGTCTTTTCCAGTTCTTCAGATTGCCTGTGAAAAACAATTCCCCCCACCCTAGCTTGAAAGGCCTGGAATGTACTTGTATTTAAAAAAAAAAAATCTGACTTGACTGGAACACAGTGAAACACCATTATATGTTGGGTAGGATAGGGAAAGGTCCTTTTTGCTAGGGAAAAAAAAACAACTAAGTAAAAGACAAGAACTGAAATTCTATTTCTGCTGAATGCATTTTCTGTTACCACTGAGTTGCTGAGCTGACAAATCATTATTTGCACTAAGGCACTCAGTTATATCTGCACAGCTCAAAAGCATTGCTATCTACTAGGGATTTTTTTTAAAATTATTTTTGCTAGTTATTCAAGTTGCCCTAAAACCTGCTGCTTCTACAATTAAAACACAGCGCTGCCCATTTATTGGCCAAATAATCCTTGTAATCTTCACTCTGCTTCAAACCTACACAGTGATTCCAGACTGCACAAAGATCAATGTAGTTTGATGTACTTTTAAAGCATTAAAAGGATTTCTTCTTTACACTTGCCCAGGATTGCCTAACCCAAGTGATGCAGCTGACACAAGCTCTCTGGCCACACCCAGTGACTTCATTTCTCTTTATTTTGCAGTTTCAGGGGTTTAGATACAACAACCACAATCCCAGCACTGCACAAATCACACGTTCAGGACTGAATCACATGCACCCAAAACACATCACAGGAAAGATTTCCAAAAGCCACACACAAACAGAGGGATGAAACCTGGAGCACAATGAGCTCAAACTACCCCAAAGTAGCTGCATTTTTGTCCAGAATTTTGTGCTTTTTCTTAATTAGAGCTATTACACTTTGAGACAGAACAGAACAAAATTACAAAAGCACTTACTAGTGTCATGATCCAGCACATTACAGGTACTCCACTCTGGTTCCTGACATCAGGAAGTCCTCTCACTCAGAGAAATTCACAGGCCAAAGGTAAAGCCATAAAACTTTCCAGGATTTTCACCTTAAATTTCTCTCCACATCCACTTAATTTAAAAATTTTTCCTCCCTTCAAAGAATGAAGCAACAAAAAGTTTGTACAATAATTCTTAACAGGATGTCTTTGCCATTTTTAATTCACAGTTATGTTTTATTGATCAACCTTCTTTTTTTTAAAAGTTATACTTCGTGGTATTTGAATCTGAAACCAGAATAACTATCCCCACACACGCACCTATCTATCACAAAATTTAAAAAATAAATTAACAGCAAATGCAGAGAGAAAATCTCATAATATTGGCACTAATACCTATAAAGACTCATATTTTGGCTCCTAGTATTTTTATCTCTCTGACACAGTGCTATTCCAAGTCTCAGAAGTCAGGTTTTGCCTCTAACTAAGCATGGAGCAGCCAATTCCTCCTTTCCTTCGTCCTGCAACAAATCCACCAGCAGGGAGTTGATGAGAGTGGATCAGACCTGGAGAGGTAAAATTGCAGGACACAGGGGAAAGGCTGCAGGACAGTCAGCTCTTGGGATTCTAGAAACAGAACATTAGGGACGAGAAGGTGCCAAACACAGCAGCAACCCCAGCACCCTGAAAGCTCTTACTGGTGATGGGGGAGAAGTTTGGAGGCAGGGGGAGCCCCTAGAAGGGCTCTCACTCCTTCATCCAGCATCTGTCAGACAAACATGCTTTGCTTTTCTGCTCCACCGTACAGGAAAACTGAGGCCCACATCTTTAGGACAGCAATGATGATTCTCAAAATACCTGGGGATTGATTTTTTTTTTTTTTGGCTTCACGTTAAAAAAAAAAAAGTATAATCTTACTTTATAAAAGATTTTCCCCCATTTTCTTTTAGACCCGGTCCCTCTTAATTGGTTTTTGTGCTTCCCACTGTTCTTGACCAAAAATCTCTGCAGTAGAGGAATTTATAATTAAAAATGCAACATTCTCTGTGGAAATAACATTTGGAACACCACACAATTATTTTTCTTCAGTGTAACTCACATTCACACAAGGTGCACTTACAACCATTTTTTTTTTTTTTCAGATTTTTAAATTATTGGATGAGGAAATACATAATATTAACACTCCAGCACATTAAACAAACGTACCAGTTTCCTACAACAGAGACTTCTGCCTTTGGACTACATGATAACCCACCAGCACAAATGAAAAGGTGACATTTAGTCAGGAAGGGAGAAGGACATTCCTCAGGGTGAAGTGCTCACTAGCACGAGCAGTTCTGCTGCGAAGGAGGTGGGTTGTCTGTGAGTCTCATGCTCCTTCCTGAAGTGCCCCTGGAATTGTCTGATTCTACACTCTCCGACATCTTTTCACAGATTATATCCACGAGACGCTCAAACACCTGCCTCACATTGATGTTTTCCTTGGCACTGGCTTCAAAATAGTCAAAACCTGTGGAAAAAGGGAGCAGAGAGTATCAATAGAGGCTGCTGCTGCTCCTGCTGGTTTTTAAAATGCCATTTTTTTTCAGAATTCACCTTAAGGAAACAAGCTATTAGATAACTCTTAAGCTCAGTTGATTCCCACGATCTCGAAATAATGAGCAGAAATTCTTCTAAAATTTAGCAAGCATCAGTGAGATGCTTTCTGATAGTCATGAAAGGGATAAATGGATCCTTACTATCACCCTGGCAAGCACATCTGCAGATGATACAGATCTGAATAAACCCAGGATAAAGGAGTGGAATTCTCCCCCTTTCCTCAGTGCAGGTCCCCTGGGCTGCAGCTGGTGACACGTCACCCCCAGCAAGGTGTGAGGAACCTTTCTAGTCTCCACACACACCTGCCCAGGGCCAGGCTGGCTCTCCCAACCCCTGCTGCAATCTGGCAAGAGCAGAGGCCAGAACGAGGAGGAAGATTTTGGTTTCATTCCTTCTGCTGACCAAATTCTGCTCTCAGGAGTGAAATGCTCGGTGACTTTGGTCTTGTTCCTTCCTGTTCTTTGTCTGTTTGGATGGAAAGCTCCTCAGGGTGATGGATCCTTGCATAGCACAGAGCACCATCCTGACAGGAGGTCCAGCACCACCGAACTACACCCAACTTTATTTCCAATGTCCAGCCACCGGCTCCTCACTGCAGTGATGAGCACAGATCCTCAAACACTGACCCTTTCTGATTAAAAAAAAAACAAGCCAGCAAGGCTGGAGTTATGCCAAGACAGCTCTTCCTGCTGCTTCCCACTGGCACCCAGTTCTCTGGGAGAACCAGCCTCCCACAGACAGCCCAAAGCCTGTCCCAGCAGCAGGAATGCACTGAACTGGGAAGCATTTCCTTATCTTTCCAACTCCAGGGGCCTCAAGGGCCAACCAGTGCTCACAGTGGCTGTTGCTGCTGTTCCACCAGGTTATTAAACTGCCAGCAGCAGGAGCTGAGGCACCAGGGAGAGTTGCTTTTGCAATGAGCTGCGTTCTGTTGTGCTGCATTTTGGGGATGTTCCACACTGCATCAATGTCCTTTGATTCTGCCACAAACAAAGGAAAAGATCATTTGTCTTAACTGATTAGTCTGCCACTGCCTGTAGGCTGAGTCACCTCGATGTGTGATAAGTTGGTATCCACCCCATCCAAACCCTCTTTAAAATTCATGGGACAACCAGTGAAGTGATGGTGGAGCTGTTTGCTTCCTAATTAAACAGGGATGGCTTTCCTGCACAGTGTTCTGTCTGCCCCTCTTGCTGTCTTTGATAGTGAATAAAAATGTATATAAAAAGCACAGAAAACCAGAGAACTGCACTTGGATATTAGTCAGTCCAACACTGACATCTCTTTTGGTTCAGTTCATGCTCAGGCCAATAGCAATTTCTTAATCTAATTAGGGAATTATTTCAATGATGGCAATGTCACTATGTGAATTTGGATCAACATGCTGAAGGATAACCTTTATGTGAATCATTATGATGAACTGTAGCAGTTTCAGCAGTCAATTAAAGAGATCCCCCCCACCTAACACACAAAATAATTTCAGATAACGCTGCACACATTAACGTAGTTACTATAAGGAAAAACTGACTGATAACATCAGATCTATTTCTCAGCCCTTTTTAAAAGTGTCTGGTATTTGGGGAGGCTACAGAAGAGCAGGGCTGGGACAGCACTTCCCAAAGGATTAACATTTTGGGTTGCTCTGCACTGGGGTTGTTTGTCCAGGGTGAGCTGGACAGACACAAGGACAGGTCAGGGGCAGAACTGGGGATTCTTCAGCAAAACAGTTTCCTACTGATGGATTCAGTTGCTATGGTAACTGTGTGTGTGTGTATGTGTGTTTTGAAGTGTCCCATACATAAAGGATTCAGATTCTAGATGCCAAGTTTGTAATCAAACAAACAGATGAATTTGGGGGGGAGAAAATAAACATTAGATGTCCAAATTGGAGTGGGAGTTCAAATAAAACCTCTATTTGGTGTTACATTGTTCTGGACAAATATTCAACTACTAACAGTGTAATTATTCCTGCAAAATATGTGGACACACCTGTAAGCCAGGAACCAAGTTTATTCACATTGATCATTTCAAAAGCAAATTAAATTCTGATGGGCAAAAAAAAGGAGCCCATAACTGATTTTGTAAACTAACCATGTCTCTGTTTGCTTTGCTAGTCCTACATGTAAAGATGTATTATTACAATAACAATAGTGATGGGTTTAGTTTGATATTTGCTCATTATTTGTTTATGATGGCAGTGCCTCAAGGCTCAAGTCATATGCAGAATTCACACTCCAAAGTTCTAAACCTGTAGGATTTTGCAGACATGCCTTTTTTTTTTTTTTTTTCCACATGAAACATGAAAAAATAACCTGATTGCTCTTAACCCTTTGGAACAGTGACCATCTTTTTGTTTAAATTTAAATTAATTTTTAAACAGGATTTACTTGCTATTTTGAATTCTTTAACGGAAGATGACAGTATAGTTAAATCTTAACACAGAGCCCTGATTCCATATTAAATATATCATAGATGCTGTACTAGATAATGAAAAATGATAAATAAATGATAAACTATTATAAGCTTATTTTGCTGTTCATTCTAAAATTTTCATTGCAATCCCAATTTCCTCTCAATGGAGCTGCTTTGCTTTTTCTATCCCACATCAATAACATAATATCATTTCCTTATCTGGATAAAAAAGCTTAGTACTTTTTCAAATATGTTTTACTCAGTTCTACAATTCTCATGTATAAACTACACTTCTTTTTGTTGTTTCATTAAAAGAAGAAATTCTTCAACAAAAATCAATGTTTGCATTGATTTGCAATGAGTACATGGGACTTGGAGACCTGGAGACAGAATTGTGTTTATGAAAACCTTTTCTCTTTTCATTCTGCTGAGCTAATAAAAGCTTTTGTGTTCAGACAAACTTTATCTTCCTCCCATCCTCAGACATCACCTTTCCAGATGCAGCAACACTCCAAGTATTCTACCAAGCACATCTTGGCCTACCGAGCATGAAGCAAGTAAAATATGGATCTGGAATATATTCCCCTTCTTAGCTGTGAGACCATTATTAAAGTATTACTGCTGGGGGCACTTTTTATTGTGCAAACTAAAAGGAGCACAGTATAAAGTAGCAGAAGGGAAAAAGAGGTAGAAAGGAAAGCTTTCCACTCACCCAGCTGATCCGCCAGGTGTTTCCCCTTCTCCACAGGAACAATCCTGTCATCCTCCATGTCACATTTGTTTCCAACCAGGATCACTTGTGCATTGTCCCAGGAGTAAGTCTTGATTTGGGTGGCCCTGCAGCAGGTCAGAAAAGATTGTTACATTCCATCAGCTGTGCCAAAATGATCATACGTTAAATCTGAAAACAAGTACCATTAATGACAACATCACCACCTCAAAGACAAGTGACCTGGCTTACACATAAAGTGAGGATGCAGACTCTGTAGCCCACAGAACCATTCTGGTTTAATCCTCCTTAATTTGGTGTGTCAATAAAGTTTCTTGTTAAGACTTTGCAAGTGCTACAAAGGTCATGCGATTCAGATAAAAAGATGAACTGAAGAATTTTTGAAGTCTAGGGACAAAAAAGCTTATTTTCCTTCAGCTGTCATCTGTCAGAGGAATGGCAATCAATTATAGCTCTTCAGGATAATTGTGCCATAGAGAGAGCCATACAATAGATGCACACTTCATGCTGGATTTACAACTTCTTATAAAAGAACAACAATAATTTAGAGCAGACAACAAAAGATGCTCGTTTGCTGCAGCACATTTGCTGTGGAGTTTTAGGAACACCATAAGTACAGGTGGAAGGATCAAGTCATCTTTGCTTGGACAGGAAAAGGGGCTCATGGAGGCTGAAAATTTCATAGAAGTGTTGCTAAAGAGAAGCAGATTTTCTTCCTGTTTATCCTGAGGGCCAGTCCTCTCCTGCCATCCTCGCTGAGGTGCCCCAGAGCCAGCAGCAGAACAGTGTTAGCTTGGTGGTGTTCACTTTTATGCATTTTTTCAGACCAGCACAACCTATTTTATCTTCCCCAAGCCAGCTCTATCTTTTAAGACTCCCTCCTTCCCAAAGGTAATTAGGCTGCTCTGCCAGAAGCAATACACTCCTTCCCACCTCCAGCCCTCCTCCAGTCCCTAACTCACCTTGCACTCCTTGTCCCTATTAGCCACCACTCCAGGCTGGACACTGCACTTTCAGGCAAACCTGCCATTTCCCAGGAGGGCCAGATTTTTACTTCTATTTAAGTTTGCTTGAACTCCCTTAACAGTAAAGCACTTGACTCCTTCTCCTCTGAATTAGCAGGAGCCTCCAGCTCTGATCTACCAATGACAATTTTTAATTAGTTTGAGTTGCTTCCTTGCCTCTTCCATGGAAAGAAGCCAGTGGTGTTACTTCATGGATAACTATGGAAAAGGGGGTCATTTCACTGTGCAACTTGCCTTGAAGAAGGAGCAGCCTGTTTGGATTGCACTGGAATCACAGAAGGGGGTGACTGCAGAAATGAGCCAAAAGCCCAGGAAGATGAAATCTCTGCAGTCTCCCTCCATAAGCAATAGAGAGAAATAGAGCCTTCAATTTAAAACACCTATAAACAGGCTCTTCTTCTGACTCCCAGTTCCACTTCTGGATTCATTTCAGCCCCTGGTACTGGATGGGGACACATTGCCAAATCTCAAGTATTTAAATAGAATTACTCATGAAAAAAAAGCAAAGAGCATGAAGGATCCCCCTAGAAACACATCCTTGTTTTGTACAAGCTAGTAAGAAACCTCTTACAGAACACCAACATTTATTAGGAATAAAGATCAACCAAAAAAATTTATGAAGTTATGAAGAACATAAGAAAAGGTACCATGAAGCCCATAGCAAAAAATGGCAGCAAATTTCCAGAAAGACAAATAACAAAATAAAGAGGCTTGTCCAATTGAGATGTTTCAACACCTCTGGTCCAATATACGCACTGGGAGAAAGGTATTTCTGTGACACAATAAAAATGCTGCGCCTTGTTTGTGCTGAATTCCCCAAATTAACAATAAAACACGTTTTTTGTGCTTCTCACTTAGAAGAAAAAGTCTCAGGTTCACAGTTACAACAGGAGGCATCAACAACCCAATTTAGAGATCAGCTTTAAAGACAGATAAAGCTGATGATTTGTGAACCCAGCTGTCACTTAGATATAAGTTAAATTTTACCAATTTTTATTTTCCGTCTATGAAATTGTCTAGATTGTCCAAAGCAGAGCTTCCATAATATTTTCTATTTACTTTCCATTTTCAAATACTGAATATATTCTAGTTCCAGTACAGTTTCAAATGAGGTAGAAACCACTGATTTATCTACACACAAAACTATCAACCCAATGTCAAATAACAGCTAACAAAGGAGACTGCTAAAAAAAATTCTAGAAACTGAGCTGAAAACCATGAAAGCTAATTTAACCCTTTCACTCACCCTTACAGGAAACACATATTCAAACAAAATAATTACTTATTTTCAAATATCAGGTAAACCCCATCTTTGCATTTGCCCATTTATGCTTTTTCTTGTAAAATGATCTGACTGAACTCTTGCCACACTGCAATAAGGAAAATCACTCAGGCTTAATATTTAAGGCTTCTCATACATGTTTTACTTTTTCCAGTGATCAGGAGAACAAGTCATGTTCCAGGTATTCCCAAATGCATTAAATTTTGTTTCTTTCTCAGCAGCTTTAAGAAAATCATCATTAATTGGGGTGATTGATGTGAATGAAGGAAAGACTCCACATTCATTTACTGCCTGGAAAGCTTGTCTAAATACCTGATATACAGCCACAAGCCTCTCATTCAGGAGAAAGGGTGACTTCACCTGGTTTAGGAGAACTATGAGTGACACAAAGCAAACCAGGATCCTCTTTAGGACATCTACCCATAAGAGGGGTGAGGTAAAACGATCTCCCAAGGAAGAAATCATATGGCAGACTGGAGGAGATATTCTCATTTCCCTTGGGGGTAGGTGAGGCCCGATCAGGAGGCTTTTAAAACAGTTGTGTACTACTGAACCAAAGACAAAGGCTCTGAGCTAAAGGAGCCAAGTAGGAGACACCTTAATCTTCTTTCCATGGAGAGTACAGTTCCTGACTGAAGACCAGATCCAGCATTGTGGGGAATAAAACCCACCAAAAATCCTACCTATTTGCTACCCCTGGAAAATGACAGAGGCTGATGTAGCAGCACCAGCCACAGACAAAAGCTTTTGTTTCCATTTCTTCTGCCTTCGGAAGTTTCGAAAGCGATTTTGCAGGCTGGGAAAAACCGTCTCGCAGCTGCGTGGCCACTAGAGGACTCTGCTGGCCCAGCATTGTGGGCTTTGCTACAGCCCTCATCTCTTCTCCAGTGCACCAGCTTCAGGAAGGCAAGAAATGGGCCGATTTTATCCCCCCCACTACATCATTTGTGCTCAGAATCTCAAAACTGGTTAGAAAGATCCCTGACACACAGAGTAAAAATACACTGCTGGTTCACCTCTGTCCTTTGGCTGACAAGGTGCTCCTAGCAAAGATATTCCTGCAGCTCCCGTGGCAAAGTCAAATTGACAAAACTGACCTTTCCCAGCTCTTACTCTTGCATCAGTGCCTTTGATGGAGCAGACCTTAGACCACTTCCAATACAAAGCTTCAGGTTAAACTTCACCTGTACAAACTTCAAAATAGTAGTAGGTCCAAGATTGAGATCTGGTATTTTTTTGGCTAAGATATAAGTATAAAACTTACTAGAGCGGAACCAACATTCGGATGGATAGACGAGCTGTATAGTCATATATACCTTGTTTCACCAGGGAATCAAGCTGAAAACATTTATAGTTTAGTGAAAGATAGACCAAGCTCTCATGCCTGCACTCCTATGGAAAATATCCCCATGCACACACTTGCAGAAGAAGCTTCATCTGAGCTCGGTGGAGGGTGTGCCACATAGAGGAAAGTGGTTTTGGCAAATCCTTTGGGTTTGTGTTTCTACCAAGGACAAAATTTATTCCTCTATCACCAGCTGCTGAAGGATAGCTTGGGATGCTGCTGCAGTTCACCTTCTGCAGCCTGGTGTCAGGGTACTGAGATGGGGTGAAAGTGGAGACTACATCTTTAGTCCTGATGATCAAGACCAAGTGCTTCAGTGGACAGCGAGAACAAAACCTGGGCAGCCCAGAGGAAAGCCAAATTATTAGAAACAACCAACCATGTTGTTGCAGCTTTTGAGTTACAGCCTGGATTAGAGGGTACGGAATAAGTGATCAGCAGACAGCCAGGCTGAGCTGGATGCTCAGAGCCAGCGCCACAGCCAGCACGTCACGTTCTCCCCAACAGGTCAGCCAGATCATTGCAAATCCATCAGACTTGGGAGATGCCATTAACACCGCACCGCCTTTCTTTGCACCCTGACCACTTATCTGCAGTACACAGAGACCAGGTTACAAGCAGAAATGATTGAGGGGACTCACAGGGCTACAGCTTCTGAGGATAAACACAACCTCTCCCCAGATCCCTGAGATTTGAAGTGAACAACCACTGTTAACCTGAATTGTTTTAGCGGCGTAGCCAGAAACCTCATAAGCCCAAATAATGCATTAAAGGATTAATTTCTTCACAATAAATTTAAAGTTTTAAAGGCAACAAGTTCTTTACTATGCTAAAGTATTTGAATTGTAATGTTTTTATTAAAGTGAAGCTGCAGAACTTTTTTTAAGGAAAGTTTATGAATCAAATTACTTATCCCAGAGTTTAGATGAAGAGGAAGGCATACGGTGATGCAAAGCACTACTGAGGGTGGGATGTCTCATGTTCTCAACAAACAACTGGGAGGAGAGAACTGACCAAAACCCAAACAAACCCAACAAAACCAGTGTTTCATACCAGTCCTGCACTGCATTGAAGGAGTCTTCACTGGTGATGTCATACATGAGCACAAAGCCCATGGCTCCTCGGTAGTAGGCTGTAGTGATGGTCCTGTATCTTTCTTGTCCAGCTGTGTCCTGGAACAAAAAGGAATATTTAGGCTGTAAGATTTCAGTTCTCAAAAGCAGGAGTTGTAATTAGGTCCTATATCTAAACTAAGGCAACCGCTTTTTGTTATTACACATTTTAAAATTCTCATTTGCTCCGAACTGAAATGAACTCCACTTACATTTTAGCATTAATTAGGCTTGTGCACCAACCATGATTTGTTAAATGCATTTTGACACATGTACTATTAAAAAAAAATACCAAAGATGTCAACTCTTTAATTGCTCTTCTCTGCCTCTGCCTCAATGCAATAATAAAATGTTGCCAGAGTTCACTGAAAGCTGACACTTCAAAGCAGAGGCAAAAGAAAACAGTGCAGACTGTACCAGGCAAAAGACATTTACGTGTTGCAATTCAGTGTCACGGTCAGGAAAATGTCCTTGAGAGAGATGCTGGGGGTGACTCAGTTCTTCCCTCAGATCAGAGACAATGATTAAAGACCTGATGCAATGAACTTTACCACACAAAGCGAATTAAATGTGGAATATCCCAATCGCAATGTCTGAGGCGCACATATTAATTTTAGAGTTACTAATCCTCTTCTGCTGGTTCAGCTTAATTCTCTTTACCCACAGAGCCCTGCAGAGAACCTCTACCTGTGTTTGTCATTTCTGTGTTCGTCATTTCTGTGTTCAGCCTGGCAGCACAAAGGTGAAAGTCTGGCATATACAACAGAAGAATTCTGAAGGACTCGTGACAGCTAGAAAACATGTCAACCACCATCTGTTGGATGCCAATAGCATTTATTCTTCACATTTTGCCTGCTTTTAAACTGAGGGATTTTTCTACTTCAAATCAGGAGCTCTGCAGCCAACCCATTCCCTCTGGAAAAAGGAGAGAAGTTGTGTGCTGATCATATCTCTCATTCAGGAGATATCTATCAATTGAACAAATACATTTCATCCATTTTTTGGCAAGTGGCAGCTCTGTGAGCAGCTGCAGGGAGGCAAGAGGTCTTACCTTCAAAGCATGTGCTCAGTATGAGGTGTCGACTGCTAGTTACTGTGCTGGTTTAGCAGTTCTGAAATGAGCAGTCCTTTAGTCCCCCAAAACCTACATGAGAAAGCATCTGCTGCCACTGGTTTAAAATGTGATTAAAGTTCTCTTCTCTGGAGAAAAAGGCCCTAAAGGACTTATTAACCTTGTAACTACTTGGAAGAGTAAAATAAATCCATGCAGAGCACTGTTGCAGGAGTACAGAGATCAGACACAACACATCACCACAACCCCAGGAGATAGTGGGGGGAAACTAGTCAGCTTTAAAATCATCTTGCCCATCATTCCCAGACATGCAGCTTTGTTTTTTCCTACACACAAGAGGCAGTGTTGGCCCTTCCACAACACACACCAGCTCGTCTGGGATCGCCTGCTGTTCTGCACCAGAATATCACAGAGCCTCTCTGTAGGAAGAAAGCTCTTGTAAATAAACTCCTGACAGCTTGCTTAAAAGGCTCAGCCTACTGCACTACTGGGAGACTTTCCACAGCTGTAACACACTGTGCATTTCCAAGTGGAGAGGCTGTGCAGCATGGATCTTGCCATTTCTCCACCAATTCTCAGGAAAAAAAGAAGGGATTTTTTTTCCTTTAAACTTGTGCATTTATTTCAAGAGGGGGTAGTCCACTGGTGGATCGTGATGAAGCATCATACACTGCCTGACAAAGTGTTTTCCTCTTCCCTCCTGACAAGAGGTACCAGAATGAGGCGGACTCCACCTTGCAGCCTGAGTGACCTTTTCCTCTCCTGCCAGTGATAAATTCACCATAGAGCACTCTCGTAGTCCCTGACAGCACATCCTGACTTGGCTGCTGAACAGCTAAACCAGCCAAGACAACCAGATCCTAACCATACTTCTTCAAGCAGGAAGGTCTCAGCAGCAATAGTATTGTTCTTTTATTCAGAGAGACACAATAGTTGCTTTATTTTTAGCCTGATTTCATAAAGACATGAGGCTTATTAAATCATCAGTGGCCACACATGCACTTTTGATCAAATTTAACCGAGGGGAAATGCTCTCAGATGTCCCTTACACATGTCACAAAAAATAGCTGGTAAGGTGAAGAGAGACCTTAAGCATACCCTAGCTGGGAAGAAAGTTGAAGTGCAATGATCCTTTTCCAACCCCAGCAAGAGAGAGGCTCTCTTTGTGCCTCATTAGGAGAAAGCCCTAAATCAATATTAATAACTTCTGTAACCAACAAAACCAAACAAATCCATAGGAAGTCTGGCTTCTTCACTTCTCATGCTCCCAGCGTTGTTGTTGTTTTACACCAGCATTCCCAGGTCCTTCTCCCTCCCAAATCTCACCTCGTATTTTCTCCTCTGTGTTTAACTAGTGCTCATCCTGGCTTAGGGCATGAGGCTGTGACTGGACAGTAAGCAACTGCAAGACACGTTGTCTGGTTACATGCGGAATAATTCAGAAAGAAATTAAATTTGACAATGGCTCAGAGCAAGGACTTAGCTCTGGGGACGTATGTCCAGGCTGTCCTGGGAAGCAGCCCCAAGGGATGCTGAAGGTGACTTCCAAAACCTGTCCTGATACCATCTCAGTGCCTCAGCTCAGTGAGGAATTGGACTCATCTGTGATAAAGGCAAATTATTGTCTGAAAGCTCTGGAATTTAGCAAATTTGGTTTGCTGATTGCAGTATTCTGCCTGTGCCCACCCTGTGTGGGGGGCAGAGCCCCAATTTATACATCAGTGAGAGATGGGGCTGGAGGAGGTACAGAACCCCAAAGGGCTGCGTGCATTTACATAGTCATAACCCGTTCTCTGGTGGACAGAAAGGTAATTTGCATATTCATACACTTGGGTGCCTGCCTTCTCAGGTTATCAAAGAGAGTGTGCTGTGAGGGACAGGCATCCTGTATTTCATGGCATGTAAAGTTTATTGATAACCTCGCCCTGGTAGCCATGTGGTAGAATGCAGAGATGTGATTCATCTCTACGTGAGTCACTGATGCCTTCCTCACTCTGTTTTACTGTACAGGTGCAGACCATGTCATCTCCCCTTACAGGTTTGCAGTTGCATTTCTCCAAATGCATTTGAATTGTTGTTATATCACCCTGAAATTACCTTTTTCCTCGGGTTACATTACCTTTAGACAGCGATAAATTGGCTTAATTTTCTCAACTCACACCACGAGCACCCCCCCGCCACAGATGCCTCGACTGAAATAAAATAAAATAAACTGCAAAATCCGAGCTCACTTTCTTCAGCATTTACAATAATTGTCCTTACCTCAGTTTAAACCCCCACAAACCTTAGCTAATTAGGCATTTCAGGTTTTTTTACGTTCAAGTTGTTTATCCAATGAAGGAGAAAATAACTGACAGAGATTGCTCCCCCCTCCCCGCCGAGTTGTTTGCAAGATTTCCAGGTAGACCACAAACTCATTAGAAGACAAGTAGATGAGGCACAGGCAGGGATCAGCAGAGAGGTGATGTAGCACTAATTAACAGTCTAGCCAAATGCCTGGGAAGAAGAGCCTGAGCTTCAGCATCCAGAAGCCTGCTAGGCTGCCCCTGATGAGCAATCAGAGCTTGGCTGTAACCAAGCACAGAAGGGTCTCTGTGAGGTATACTTACACCAGTGTGCTAACAGCTCTGTTCCTGTGTAGTTTGTGTGTGTGTCTGTCTTTGATACAATTAAAAACACCCACAAGACCATTAGTTGGGAGCTTGAAACAAAAATTTGAAGGTTTTGCATTAATGAGCAATCAAAATTCAGAGCTTATTCAGAGGAGAAAAAGACCTAAATGCATTAGCATTGTGTGCAGATGCCCTCCAGTGACGAGATCCATCACATAAACATTCACAATAGAAGCACAACCAGCTTTTCTTAAATTTACTTGGCTGTCTCAGCAGAAACGGCAAGGTACTTACACAGAAAACATATCTGAGTTTTTAAATTATGACAGACGCCCTTTGCTGCAGGTCTGAAAAATCAGAATCTGTGATTCTGAACCATCCTTCTTCTAGTGAAGATTTCCAGCTACAAGTTCTTTGTTCCAAATAAAATGTCACTGAAACATCTAATCTGTACTGAATTTAATCCCCTTAGCACCATGACTTTTCTAGCAGTGTATGTGACAAATAGCCTCTAAAGAAATAAACCTTTCCTTTTTTTTTAAAGGATTATGGTTTGATTTTCATGAGGTTTGGGGTTTTTTTTAAAGAGGAATAAAACTCAAGAGTAAGAGTTGCTCACTGTCCAACTTGTCAGTAACATTTATGAGATGCATGTACTTAGCACCATCACTTAGAATAGAGAACAGAGGCCACCTCCACTCCAATAACCAGCACCCAGCACAATTTGGGGCTTCATCAGTTGTGGTGAAGGAGCTTCTTCTCCCCTGCTGTTCAGTGTCACACTGTAACACCTACACTATAGGGTTTTGCTCCTTTTTTACCTTGTTTGGAGTTTGGGCAGCCTTGGAGACAGGATAATCCACTTCCCAGCCCCGTAGTTATAGGGGCAACAAGTTGTTAGACATCAAAGTGTCAAGGGAACACCTGACTCCCTGCCAACACAGCTCAGTTCTCAGCAAGACTGGCCACCTCAGCTCCTGTTCTCTACCTGACAGATAATCCCAAAAAGCAAGAAATAGAGGCACATCCTGAAGGCAGAGGGGTGTGCCTGTTTTTCCTCTATCTGGGGCTCAGTAGTACCCGACCCATTTACATCCAACACCGGTTCACTTTCCTTTCTGCACGGATGAGGAAACATCTGTACTCGCACGGCGCTGTGCTGGTGTGTCTGCTGTGAACAGTGAGGGTGCCACTGTGCCATCAGTAACTCCATCCCATCCCACTCTGTTCCCATCTCTCCAGCTGTTCAAGCAGCCCTCTCCACGTATGCCTCGTTCTGCCTTCTCCACCAGACTGAAGTGGCTGCTCAAAGCAGCCTTTCCTTACCTTCCAGAGCTGCTGCAATGTGAGGTGTTAAAATTCCCACGACCTCCAGC